CCTATCATACACCCGGCGCAATGCGGCGCAAGTGTTTTTGCTAGTTTCAGCCCGACGCATTTCTTATTTTCCCGTCCTGCGCTGCATTGTTTAAATAGCAAATGCATTTGCGCCCATTTGTGCGCCCATGGGCATGCTGGTCTAAAAAAGAGGTGTGTTCAGGCGCATTGTTGGCGCGTTGCTATTTTGAGGAACTGAAATAGACTGCGCCATAGACCAACTCAAACCTGGTATAAAGTCTGGCGCAATATTTTTTCCTTGTTATTTAAAGAGCGCGTTAGTAATATGCGCCTATAGGCGGGTGCACAACGTGCCTACACTTTGCTTATTACACACACAGGGACGCACAGCAGCACACAAACATTTTTAAAAATGAAAAATTACATTCCGCCATGTAAATAGCGAACCCGCTATGGCGCGAGCGTAACTGGCTTTTAAAGGGAATGGGAGATGAGACTCTGATTGGTTTATTGCATGTTACGCCCAAAAAACACCCATTACTCATTAAGAGAATAGGGACAACCCGTTAAGACCATGCGCCCAGGCGCACCGACCGTTTTCTCGTCGTTAAACTAGCAAAAGTGGATTCGGACACGCCCTGAGTGCACCTGCGCCATACGCTTTAGACCATGCGCTTAGATCGTTAAAATTGGGCCCTACGTCTGGATGGGATTCAGAAAGATGATCAAAATATAGATGGAGTAGATCGCTTACACAGTCCTATACCACTTCCTGGGTCAACATTTAATTCGGTAATGTTAGGCAGTTTTGATTTATATGCTGTTTAATGTTTGATGATCGCGTTATTTTACATATAGATCTGCTTACAAATGCGATTGCTTGTTTCTGCTTCTTCTTCACTGCGTTTTGATCCAGACATTCAGTACTCTTTCAGAAGATGTGTAATAGCGCCCCCTACCATCTCGTAAATGATGGGAAATTCTGTCAATGGTGGGGAAATAGTGAACCTCAATTCCTTAAAAATAACCTATTTTCCTTTCAAATCTTTCACTCAAGTGGAATCACCCAAAAGGCTAAACCCAAATTCAGTATAGTGATATTCAATGGAATTTCTATCATTTGCTGATCATATAATCATGTTTAAAAACAGCTAGTTGGTAGTATCACTTCTGTCTCTTTCTGCAGAAGAGGCCAGTTGAGGACAGCGACTGGAGGAAGAATGTGGAGGCCATGTCTGGTATGGAAGGAAGAAAGAAGATGTTTGATGCGGCAAAAGGCCCCACCCAGTGAAACCTTGTCTAGTAAAGTTAACACTCAAGATTATGCAACGTATTGTTTGGCAACAAAAAAGGATTAGGTTTAGAGTTACATACTAAATATACCATTAAATACCAGATATACTGTTATTTCAGATGTTGTTGATATGACAATTGTAATTCATTGCAACGGCTCAGCATTGGTGCAAATCATTACGCAACTTTCATGCGGCCAATAAGTAAATAATGACTAGCCTAGTTTATCTTTTATTATGTCAATATTCAGTTATTAGGAAGAGTCAATGGAAGGGCGTACCAATGTATTATGAGAATAAACAAAGAGAAATATTCGTTGATGTACAATACTCATTATATATGTTTAATCTTTCCAAAAGGTTCCCATGCTCAGTTTGGCGTGGTTTTCGGTGAATTATTGTTTACGAAAGCTCATAATTCTGACTTGCAGTGCTGAAATTAAACATATAAAATAAAAAGCACAAAAAGCTCATCCAAATTGTATGTAGGTATGTAATTGTACTTGCAAAAAAAGTGTATAATAACACAGCCAGGATAGTGTGATAACGTCTTTTTGCATGCTATATAACAGTAAAGTGCCTGAAGAATTTAAACAAGTGTGCTGTGTTTCTTTGTTTAGGCTAATTTGATGCAAATGTTTACATTGCCATTGAATCAGATCGTGCATAGATGATGAGATAAGAAGCACATTCAGGAAGTGAAGCGTTAACTATGGAGGCTGTCATCTGAAGACAGTGGACTCCAACCCTTATTTGCATAATGGATATCTCTGTCTTCCCTGTGTTGGCATTGGGTGGGGTGTTCAGGCCACTTATGCATGCTGTACTTATTTAACGTTTAACAGTCGAAGTGCATTGTGACATTCCTCACTTGGAATGTTTTTTTCTCTACTTGCATGAGTGAATATAGAGGCAATTGTAAATGAAACAATATAGCGGAAACATGCCACCAGATTTGTCATTCCAGTGGAGTTGCCTATTATTTCCTTTAAGACCAAACCCTTTAGTATACTGGATATTCTACCATGTCTTTCATATCGCTCTGGTCAAAGTCTAGCTGTCTCTTATAGGTGTGGCACAGGGAATAAAGCAAACACCTCCAGCCTTTGAGCTTCAATGGATTCTGAACTTTAGAGCAAATACCACTGCGAATAATGACATAAAGTGATGTCCTGTATGCTTGACTTCATTTAAAATGTTGTATTCTAGTGTATTGAATTTATGTCTTACGGAACTCACATAAGACAATGTTTCAAAATGTAACATTGTTTTAAAAACAAGCACAGTTCACCCTATATCTATACACTGCTACCTGAAATAATGTGACAAAACTAGATTCAAGACTGAGTTGACACAGCATGAAAAAAAATTTCCTACTACAAACAATGAAGATATCAATGTCTGTAAATGATATCATTGATTAAAGTAGATACATTCTACTTTATCTATTAAAGTGGATAAAGTAGATTGATTAAAGTAAATGAGTCACCAGCTTATATTGACAGATTTATAATTCTACATGAAAAAAATATTAAGATATAATAGAATATATAATAGAATATTTATTTGAATGATATATTCTGCTTTTAGCTTTCTGTCATTTCATATAACTAAACAATGTTAACATTGATAAGTACATGTAAAGTTATGTTTAAAAATATGATGTTTTTTATGTATTTTAAAATATCCTAAAATATGCAAGCCAAATAATGTAGAATAGAATAGAATAGAAAAATAGATATTTTCAAACATTTATTTTATTGCTTCTAGCTTTCTGACATTTCATGTAATTAAAACAATGTTTACATTGATAAGTAGGCCTATATAGGATGTTATCTGTAAAAAATAGTATATATATTTTTTTTATGTATTTAAAATATCCTACAATATACAAGGTGAATAGAATATTGAATAGAATACAAAAAATGCTATATATTTTAGTTATCATGACATATATTTTCGCCCATTTATTTTATTGCTTTTGACATAACTAAAACAATATATGTTTCGAGTTTTTTTTTCTTTTCTCTGGGGTATCTAGTAGCCTAATATTTTAGCTATTTTTTTTTAAAGATATATATTTTTGGCCATTTATTTTAGCTTCCAGCTTTTTGACATTCCACATAACTAAAACAATGTATGTTTTGAGGTTTCTTTCTTAAGTAACTATACAGCTATAGTTTGTTTGCATATTCTACATCCCCAATCCTCTCCCATTTTCTAATTATGTACATTGATACCGTAAGTTTTGAGATGTGTTCCTTCTTCGTCCCCACACGCTGTAGAGCTGCTGAAGGGCTTTAACATGATGCTGTGTTAATAGTGAACAGGTCTGATGCATGCTCGCGCGGCGGGAGGTGATGGTGGTGGTCACGTGACGCGGCTCTCGCGAAGCTGCGGGGTAAAGGTGGCACACACAAGACACAGGGAAGAGCGCGACACTTCATACACCTCCACAGACCTCTCTCCAACCGAGTTCAACACACAAATCATGTCTATTAGCCGGAAAAACTGGTCTGCTTTATCAACGTAAGTAGAAATGTACATTTAGCGTTTATTTTGTTTAGCTAATAGTTTTGCGATTTCTGACAGGTTACAGAAGCGCAGGTGTCAGTGTTTATACTGACGTTATAGATGCTTATGCTATGGACATGTTAACTTAAAAATATCAGAACTATAACTAGAAAGAAATAGTTTTTTAGGGGTTCGACTTTTTTATTTCTTCGCTCTAAATTTTGTAAATGAAAAAAAAATCCAACCTTAAGACTTTTAAATAAGCAAAACAGCCAAGAAGGCACTTGAGTTTCAGAAATATAGCACCCAGGGCAACACTTCCAATGTATTGTTGTAATTTACAATCGTCGTCAAGTGCATTTTTGGATGACAACTTTATGACTGAAATAAAAACTGAAAGTAACTGAGTCTGGACTGGACATGCAGTTTGAGTTTGTGGTGCGGGTTGTGATTATTTTGACAGCTAGTGTAATGCACTTATATGGAAAGTAATGTCACGCTATCAGACTCAAGGCAGTGAGTATCCTTTAACCAAAACAGAGCTTGAAAAACCAGTTATTACACAATGAAACACTGTTTTCAAACTGAAACACAATAGTCCACCTCTGGGATATATCATCGAGACCTTTGATCGTAATGCATCTTCTTATACTTTCAAAAAGACTGACAGGATAGGTTTCAGCATAGCGAGTATAGCTCAAAACATCCCTGCCATTTCTTTCCTTTTGCCTCCATGTGAATAGAGTTTTAAATCAGTCCGATAAAAAGTTTGAGTTCAAGGCTTTCACAGAAATCAAAAGTGGTTGTAGCCAAAAGTTCTAATCTTTCGGGCAATATGGGCCAAACTATATTTTGGGGATGCAATAGAATAAAACAGTCGACCTTTCTATCTATCAACCAGCATCGGTGTTCACAGAAAACTGGAATGCTGAAAGCCATATATGTTTATATGCATTTTAAACATGTGATGTGTTTGATCTTGAGGCTGGCTCGACAGTGGACTGTTGAGGATGAGGAAGAGGTGGAGAGAGAGAAGAGGAGGAAGACAAGGGAGTCTACAGCAGACATGGATGAAAGTCCCACTGAAGAGACCAAACCACAAACCAGTAGGTGCGAGAACAAAAAAGGACAAAATTACAGAGAAAGCCCAGCTTCAGACAACATTAATGGTGTATTTATGCTTTCCCTTCCCTCTTCAAATTGGTTAAGAGCTGTAATTGGCTTTAGTGATATATATCAAATTCAACGCAAATTTTGTGTTAAGTATTTGCGTGAAGCAATTGACCTTACAGAACATAAGGATGAGCGCTTCAGAGAGCTTTAGATAAAGGTTTATGGTATCATAAAAGCGAATATGAATATGATCTACATGTAATGTTGTAATTTGGTCTCATAATACCATATGTGGACACTGCCCATGTCTATCAAGGAAAGCAGTTTGACCCAAAATAAGAATTTTTTCTGAGAAACAAATTTACAAGAGTTTCATGTGATGTGCCAGAATGTCTCCAAGTGGCATAAATGAGTGATGAATCCATCAAAAAAAAATTTCAGACGATTGAATTCTGACCCCCACAAGAAAAACAAGAATACTTGGAAAAAAATTGATGTCAATTTAGTTGAAATCTCTGTGTAAAAAAAAAAAAGTCTGCATCGCCTTTGTGGAAAAATATGTGTGCTTAATTTGTATTGAATGTGCACTTATAGTGTACTTGAAATCTTAAACGTATATCATTATTACTTATTATTGTATATTATATTGAATATAATAAATTGAAATAAATGACTTGCAAGATTAAATAGAAATGGCATTAAAGTATTTTACCATAAATGTTGTCAGTACATTCAGCAGTAAATTGAACCATATTTACACAGAAAATAGAAGCAATTATGAAATTACATATATAGAGATGTACTTAAGTTGTACTTAAGTGGTTCAAATATTGCACTCTGAAGTTCAGATAATTGCATTTAATTTAACTTTAAACTATAATACATTTTCATTTCATTTCAATAAACACACAAGTGTCCAAATCATTATATTCAGTTTGCACATATATTGCACGTTTACTTATTTTTCACAAGGTTTTAACCACTCAAAGTCTTAAACCCAGTAAGAGTGCATGAAAATGAACCTTTAAACACTAACATGACATGACAACATGCTAAACACACTACTACTACAGCGGGCCTGCTGATGCTGGCGACTCCGGTGGCGGTCTGGCCCAGCTGCAGATGGACTTTGTGGAGATGTTGCGAGTCCGTGATGAACGGAGGAGGATGAGGCACGTTGAAACGCTGAGGAAGAATAAGGAGGAAGATGATGGGGGCAAAGAGACCGGCCCGGATGCGGAGCCCCATGTGGAGCTGCTGGGGGACCAGCAGGACGAGGAACTCTTCAAGAACATTCAGCGCTGCGTGGAGACCTTCATGTCAGCAGAACCTCCCACCAACTCCAGAGACTCAGAGACACAGGAGAAGGTAGGAAGGCATGGATTCTCAATGTACTGTACAATAGTTCTTCTACAGTGATGTGATGCTTTTAGAGGAAGCAGAGGTGGTCCAAAACCTACAGAGCTGACAACTTAAGACAGCATTTTAAGGAATCACGGGTGAGCTTCAGGCAGACAACAGAAAGTTATATTGCCATCAGCCAATAGCTGTGGCACACTGGCCAATGAATACTAGAGAAGTGGTTCTCAACTTTTTGACTTCAGTTTCCACAACAACGTTTCCCAACCCTGTTCCTGGAAGCACCCCAACACTAGACATTTTCAGACTCATCCTAATAAAAAACAACCTGGAATCAACTCATCATCTTATTGGTAGAGACTCCAATGCATGAAATGGATGGGTCAGATAAGAGAGACATCCAAACTGTGTACTGCTGGGGTGCCTCAAGGAACAAGATTGGGAAACACTGATCCACAAAAATATGTGACCCTGGACCACAAAACCAGTCATAAGGGTCAAATTTTGCGAAATTGAGATTTATACACCAGACACTCCTAGTTTCTGTAAATGAAATAACAGAATTCCAAAAGTTTAAAGTTGCATGTTCTTTAAGTTTCTCACTCTGTTTAACCAATAAACTGACTGCATTTTCTAACTAAACTGCATTTTCCAGTTGATTTACTTGGATTTTTAAATAATTTTTACTCACACCTTTTACAGTACCTAAGAAGATATTTTAGATCTTGGCATAACTAGAAAAATGTATATTGATTGTAAAACTTCACATGGAGTTTTAGGTTTTATTGATTGGCATGACATTTCCAGGTCTAGATATGATTTTTTTTTTTTTGAAAACATACATAAAGAAAAAAAAAATTGAGGAGAATTAAAATAAGATGAATGTTTATTTTTTTTTGTTATATTAACTTATTTTACTACATGTTTTGTCTTATTTTAATCATCTTGAGGCCCCATTGGAAGTTTGGCCCTGTATTAGAGCTAGTTCCCCCATTATCAGTTCCAAAATCTACCAACTGCATCATCAGGAGACAATAAACAATGTTTTTAATTTATTTTTATTTTTTGTACTTTGAGTAGTAGTAGTTATTTATTTTTATTGCCATGCCAGCATCTAAGGCCATCTTCATGGCAAAAACTGAGTTGCAATAATACAAGATTCCCATAAACACAAAATAAAAACCAAGCAAACAGAGAAATACAGCAGTTAAAAATGATATAAGATTTTCAAAATTCATATATGAAAAAAATTCTAAAATCTTTTCGGGTTAAATCCTACTAAGTGTACTTCATTAAAAAAAAAATCTACTTTAAAACAGTCCAATAAAATATGTTTAATGGTTTTGCAGAACATGCATAGAGTTGGATCTTCAGCATGGCATTGACAATCTTGTAAGACCTAATGACATCTCCTAAAACACCATTTGATCAAATCTCATTTTAAGGGAGAGAAAAAAGTCTCTTTGATTTCTTTTTAAGTATATATTCAAGAGAAATGATTATCTTTAATAAAGTGCAGAATCTAAGGTAAACTACTTCACCCACAATCTGCATTTGCTTTGTAATTTTTATGTTTATTGGCATATCACTGTAGGCTTAACAACATGTTAACGTCAGACTCTCCTGGAATCAACGTGGATGCAGTGTCATAGAGCATTTTAAATCCATCAATTATGGTTGTACTGTTGGGCTTGGTATGGTTTGGCGTTCGTTGGTAGAACAAATACTTTGCCATTAAGAACAATTATGAGTAACTTCTTTAAATAAACCACTTTAAAACGTTTGTATGTTTTGGCATGGCATATTCTTTGCAAAGGCTGTAACCTGAACTGGGATCTTGTTTTTTGATAGGGTTATGCATCAGTTCTCACAGCAGGGGAACATTAATGTTGCAAATGACATTGTAGCATTACCCATTAGGTGCTATATATAGTAGGACAGTGAGAGTGAAACGGTTAGGTTGTATCGAAGGTAGACAGCAGTGTCTCATTGTTTTTGTCATTCTTAGACATGCTCTCTAAGTTTAAATGAACTTGTTGGATGAACTTGTTTTGCAATGGTTTAATTATAAAATCCTCTCCTCTCTGTTATCTCTGTTGTCAGTTCTGCGCAGTGCAAATCTGACAGGTTTCATCATGTGGCTAGGGGCCAGAGGTCATCTGCTTGCTGTGAAGCTGTGTCTCGATACCACCCGTAGAATGTGTAATTAATTAATCATCTACAGGATTAAGAGAAAGAGCTGCGGGAGGCCCAGTCTTTCTTACACACACCTACAGGGCCTCCACATGAGAGAACATGAAGTCATTTGACCCACTTCTGAAGTGTGCCGTCACTTCTGTGAAAGCTTTAAACACAAAGTGAATTCTCAGACAGTGCAACCTGCGACTAAATACACAGCAATGCTGAAAGACTGTTAAAGGAACAATATATTAAAATGTTCCTTTTAATGAAACTGCAGTATTTCACTGCAATTATGAATCTGTAGTTTGTATTATTTATCTGCTTATGTTCGTTCGAAGCAATGTTACCAGCATCTACCACATCTGCCATTTACAGTATGTCAGACGATAATTCCAAAGGTGTTAGTGATCTCAAATCAAAAGTGTCTGAATTTAAATTTAAACAGGAAATTTCTTAAAGATTTTCTCAGAAATTGTTTGGAAATATCTTTGATGTCTATCCATGTTTACATTTTAAATTAGAGGTTGGTGGCGTGACTCAAATCTTATATCACAGTACACAAGTAGTGGTGTACACTACAGTTCAGAGGTTTGATTCATTTTATTGAGCCAGGGTGCATTAAATTGATCAAAAGTGACAGTAAAGACATAATATAGTAATATAATAAATATAATGTTAAGATCTCTATTTCATATAAATGCTGCTAATTTGAACTTTCCATTCATCAAAGAATCCTTAAAAATATCACTTGTGCAGCAAATCAGCATATTATTATGATTTCTGAAGGGTCATGTGACACTGAAGACTGGGGTAATGATGCTGAAAATTCAGGAATAAATTACATGTTAACATATTAAACTAGAAAACAGTTATTTTCAATCTTATATATACAGTATATTACAATGTTAGCATTTTTACTGTGTTTTTGATTTAAAAAAAAAAAAATGCCGCCTTCCTTGGTAAGCATGAGAGACTTTTCAAAAACATTTTAAAAAATCTCACTGACCCCAAACCTATATCAGAATATTATTTGCGTTTCCTTGTAATCCATTGTCAAAGTTTTGTATGTATTAAATAACCTATTTTTACATAATCCAATCAATAAAAAAATCCATACAAAAGAAATGTACTTAATCTCATTGATTATGTTCTCTTTTTATTTGGAACCTGATGGACGCAAACCAAAAGATAAGATTATATTGAATGAATGATAAGTCTGGCAACAGTGCAAAAACAACTTCCTATTAAATAACAGCTAAAGAGTTAAAAACAAGCCCCAGACAACAGACCACACGTAACTGATGAATTCACCTATAGTGAGGCAAAATGCATAATGCTGAACAATTTCCAACAACAAGACCACTTAATAAGTTCTTCATCTTGACACATTTCCATCACAAAGCAATCCCGCACACTGGCATATCTATACCACGGTGTATAGCAACATACCGGTTAACACATTTCTACCATCACATCATACTGCCTGGCTCATTTACATACTCAATGGCATTTTTTGTCTTTTTATAGCAAGAAAATGGAGGCACGAACCAAGATTCAACATCAACAAACTCCCAACCCCCCTCAAAAGCATCCAGAAAGTTTGTGAGGTATTTACAATTTCTACCCATCACACATATTTGAATTAGAGAGTGAAATGCTGGACTGACAGTAGTGTAAACCCAGCTCTTTCATTATTTCTCTCACTGGAGATATTGATCTGTTTACAGTTGCTCACTGTGATAATGAAAGCACAATCTTTGCCCTGCTCAAATTATATCCTAACTGTTGTTCTCTTTGAGCAGCTCTCTCTCGATCTCCTTTGATAAGAGTCCCACATCACCCTCAGCAACCAGCAGACTGGTTTCTCCTCTGAGCCCCAAGTCTCCGCCCCCTCAGTCCCCGAGGGTGGAGTCACCACGCAGCCCCACCCACTCTGGCTCTATGAGCCCCACACCGAATGGAGACGCAGCGGTGAGACTGCCATGATTCACACTAACAGCACTGCTGTCTTGTTTAGCATAGCTTCCCTACAGAAAGTACTATGGTGATACCATGGTACAACGGCAGTCATTCCATGGTACTACAACATTTATGTCAATAGCATATATATACCAAGGCATTTATATAGTACTTCAAAGAATAGCAAAATATTACCAATGTACCAAAGTAGAATGATGTTAGAGCTCCCTCTAGAGGAACATTGACGCTATGACATTTACTGTTTTTATTGTGGCCAAAAAAACAAACATTTTCACAGATATTATAAATGATTAAGGGCTTAAAGGAGACCATGTACATTGAAAAAAAAAATGTTGGTGTAGGATTTGCATTGACACAATTTTCACTCGGAAATTGCTAGAAAATTTCACAATTAATTACGAAAAACGGCATTGAATTAAATGTGAAATTTTAATGTAGAAAGACTGAAATAGTATTTTCTTATAAAACACAAATCAGTAATCTTTGTTTCACTCACAACTTTACAAATGTAATTTTTTACATGTTTCACTGAAAAAAAAAATGTGTAGAATTGACTTTGTAATTATTTGTGTAATTATCAGCTATTTCTGAGTAAAAGTTTCAAATAAACTGCAGGTAACACATTGAATTAAACATGAAATATGAAGTGGAAAGACTGAAATAGTCTTCTAAGTAATTTTTTACAGTGTACACTGAAAAAAAAGGAAGGATTGAATTTGAAACAATTTGCTTCCAGAAATTACTAGTAAATCTCACAAATAATTACAATGTAAGCAATGCATTGGATCCCATTCTGTACACAGACTTCTATTATTTACAGGAATTACAGCCGCATTCTGCAGCTGAATTAACTCCAGAATAATTTGAGTCAATTCTAGAGATCTAAAACAAGCTTCATCATTTATTGACTGATTATACTTGTGTAATTCATTATGCATTCTCTTACAGTTTCTCCTCTTACTGCCTTATTTTATTTGCATGTGTGCACAGAGACATGAAAATGGGTCACCGAGTAATTTCGAACCAGCTGCGAAACCTGCGTTCACACGGCAGAGCTCCAGAACGGTGTCCTTCAGGGTAAAGCTCTCGTTTGACTATATAAATACATCTGAGCTAATTAAGTATGAGAGTCAATATGTTATAAAACACAGTGTCAACATTTGCATTTCATGTGGACAGTACAGCAAGCCACTATACTGTCAAATTTGCTTGTGTCAATAACCTTCAAGTGCTACGTCACATACAGCTTTTATTATTTATGCCATGTTCTGTCAGGACTCATTTGTTAAATATTTGACTAACTCAACACACACAGACAGATAGACAGTACTTTGTGCCTCAGTGTCATTATCCATTTCAGATGGTGAAGAAGAAGGAGGAAGGAAACATGCCGCTACAGAGAAGGTACTGATCGACACACACACACACACACACAAATAAATAAATAAAAGAAATGTGCATGTGAAATTTTGCTTAATTTTTTAAAGTACTACTTTTGTGAAAAAGAAGTGTGCTTAACTATACTAAATGTGCACTTGCACTTCAAATCTTAATAGAATATAAAAAAAAAAAACTGTACTTGCAGATAATATAATATTAATGAAATAAGGCCACTTACATGTATTTCAAAAGAATTCACGTTCATGACTGTTTCTTAACACACTTAAGTACATTTTCAAAAAGTGCACTTTGTACACTCTAAAAAATGCTGGGTTATTTCAACCCAACTTTGGGTCAAATTTGGACTAACCCAACTTTTGGGTTAAAAATTGTATGTAAAAATTTAACCCAACAGTTGGGTTAGTCCATATTTGACCCAAAGTTGGGTTGAAACAACCCAGCATTTTTTTAGAGTGTAATAATGTCAAATTAAAAGATTTACATTATATACAATTTAAATCATTGTTTTAATTTTTTGTCTTGCTTTAAAAGCGTACACTTATTTTGATGTCAACTAACATACTAAAGCACATGTAAAGTACTTGATTCTAATTTTAACTGTAGTGTCTTATTCAAGATTTTAAATCTAGTTAATAGACAAGGCAGTATATTTTAAATCTTTGATATTGCAACTTTGTCATTACAAATGTGCAATATATTTAAATACATAACATACAAGTTTCAATAGAAAATGACGTTAAAGTATATTTAGTTGAGCATAAATGGTTGCCAGTGTATTTGCCATTCCATTTTAACCTTATTTCAAAAAATAATTATGCAATTACATATAAAATGTACTTAAGTCCTACTTAAGTGAGTTTATAAAAACACTTTAAAGTTCAGCTAACTGCATTTAATATAAATTCAAATTATAATACATTTAATTGTAAATGACATGCAATTTAATTTCACTCAACAATTGTTCACAACTCACATTTAACAATGGGCTATGTTCTTCTGACTAAAACAGTTACGTTACATCTTCAATAAATATTCTCGTTTAGTTTCGTTTTTTTATGTACCACGAATGGCCTGAAGAAAATATGATTATTTTCTGAATATGGTAACACTGTCTTATCTTTCACATAAATGATTAGTTAGTTAAATACGTTATTGTTCGTTGTTAGCAGATAATGTATTAACTAATGTAATCATGTACGATGTCTAATTAAAAATGTATTAGTATATGTAGAAATGAACATTAAAAGGTATCAATACATGTTGTCGAAGTATTGCTCATTGTTAGTTTGTAAATTATTGCATTGATTAACATGCACAACCTTATTGTAGCATGTTACCCTGACCACAATATCAGATTCACTCATAATTCTAATAAAAATTCTAAAAAAAGAAAATGAAATAATCAATCAATGACACATTACTATTAACATCCAATCTCGTCCACAGTGCAAGTGTACGGATTGCAGCGAAGACCTTTGAGTCCAATAAGGTAAAGCTATTAAAGACAAATCTACTACAAACACCTTCAGTCCAGTCTCAATATGAACTCTCAAGCTTATTCTGGATGTTCTGGCCCACAGAGCTCCAAACAAGAGGAGGAGCAGAAGACTCCGTTTCAGAGAAAGTGAGTGCGTCTGTATTAGTTTCTGTTTCAGCAGCAGTACAATGAGGGTGTGTTGAATTAACTGCTGTCTGTGCTGTTTCTCAAGCTCCCGACAGAGGTTATCATCTCGCTCCATTCAGGAGAAAATGGAACGACTGGCTCAAGCCTCACAGGTCTGAATCTGAAACGACTAAAAACTTGGCACTTTCCCACATGTTCCATTTATTTATTTATTTTTTTAATGCATCAAAGGTAAAAAATTCTTTTTTTTTTTAGAACTATTAAATGTTACATGCACTGCAAAAATGCATATTTTTTTTCCAATATTTAAACAAATATTTAAACATACTTAAATCAAGATACATTTACTTCATATGCAAATTGAAGATGTTAAGTCTAAATATAAAGATATTTAAACAAAATTAAATGTGCTTAAAACAAGAACAAAAATCTGCCAAGTATCTGAACAAATATCTGTAATTAAGTAGCTTTTTCTGTTCCCACTGACAGATGTGTGACTTTCTTCATTTTGATCAGTTTCACATAAACATGTCTTATGTCATTTTGAGTCTCCGGTAAATATATCTTGATTTAATAATGTTTGGACATTTTCACTGGAAAACAAGACAAAAATACAGAGGAAGAACAGCACTTTTCCCTGAGATCTACTGGATGTTGTATTTTCAAACGTTGTTAATACAAGACATTTACATTTAGTTTATTCTTTATATTTTCTTTACTTGGTCTTAAAAAAATCTTGCAGAAAATTAAATTAGCATGAAAAGTTGCTCATAATATGTCTGTATGCCACTTTATTTCATCCTATTTTATTTCCAGTAAAGTTTTTCAACTGCATAGATTGGTCACAAAATGTTGCTAATATGGTCGCGATCAATAAAAATAGAAGAACTAATATCAAGTTGAAATAAGATTGAGAATAAAATGTTTATCAGGTTAAGCACCTCATTTCACTGAGCAGCTGTTGAAAGAGTTTTAGGCTCTTTTGGTGAACAGTGGCAGATATTGCTGAATGTAAGACAAACAAAACCATGCTTGAGAAATGTATTTTGTTGCTCTTTTCAACTTTTAGAAATGGGAAATATCCAAATCCCCAGTGGTGCACCAGACTGTGTGTTTAGCGGATGAGGTGTCAAGGAAGAGGGAGCTGTTTGAGAAGGAACAGGAGGGATCCGACAGAAGCCATGTGTTCTCCAAACAGGTGAGGACCATTTCAGTGTCTGGAAAAATGGGTTATTTTATTTATTTACTTGTTTGAGCTCATCTGAACTGACCATTCAATCATTTGTTAAGAGCATTTACTTTGTTTCAGGAATTTCGCAGCTTTTCTTCGGGACTCTCTGATCGAATTAATCGCTGGGTTCAAAAGAAAACATTTACTGTGTCATCATCTTCATCATCATCATCACCATCTCATAGTCCTTTGGTAAGTGCTGCATTATGTAGGCATAAGCTTACATTTATCCTTTTCTTTTTCCAATTTTGTTTTTATTTTATTTTAATTTTATCATAAGTAAATCATGAGATGGTACACACTGGGGGAAAAAAAACGGTGTGAACCTTCTCATGATTTCCACTGTTTTTCTCCAGGCTTTGGCTTGGTGGCAGTATTTCACTTTGCACTGAGCCTATTTCGTTCACTCATTTGACCTTGTTAGTCATCACACAAATATGTGTCATGTATGTGGTGAATCTGGAGTAATTATTTGCTCCAATGAAATGATAGGTTTGAGCCATGATTTATGTAATCAGTCTATGTAATGACACGTGGCCTCCACATATCCTCACATAACCTTTTCCATTCCCCAAAATAGATTTTTTTAAACAAACAATCCTGTACAGAACTATAAATTACATTATTATCTTTAACAGTAAACATGCTGCAATTAAAACAGCATTTCATGTAGTATTTTTTTGTTGTTGTCATGGCTAAAGTCAACTAAATTTCTCATATATACACACACACACACACACACACATATATATATATATATATATATATATATTATGCTCTTTTCAACTTTTAGAAATGGGAAATATCCAAATCCCCAGTGGTGCACCAGACTGTGTGTTTAGCGGATGAGGTGTCAAGGAAGAGGGAGCTGTTTGAGAAGGAACAGGAGGGATCCGACAGAAGCCATGTGTTCTCCAAACAGGTGAGGACCATTTCAGTGTCTGGAAAAATGGGTTATTTTATTTATTTACTTGTTTGAGCTCATCTGAACTGACCATTCAATCATTTGTTAAGAGCATTTACTTTGTTTCAGGAATTTCGCAGCTTTTCTTCGGGACTCTCTGATCGAATTAATCGCTGGGTTCAAAAGAAAACATTTACTGTGTCATCATCTTCATCATCATCATCACCATCTCATAGTCCTTTGGTAAGTGCTGCATTATGTAGGCATAAGCTTACATTTATCCTTTTCTTTTTCCAATTTTGTTTTTATTTTATTTTAATTTTATCATAAGTAAATCATGAGATGGTACACACTGGGGGAAAAAAAACGGTGTGAACCTTCTCATGATTTCCACTGTTTTTCTCCAGGCTTTGGCTTGGTGGCAGTATTTCACTTTGCACTGAGCCTATTTCGTTCACTCATTTGACCTTGTTAGTCATCACACAAATATGTGTCATGTATGTGGTGAATCTGGAGTAATTATTTGCTCCAATGAAATGATAGGTTTGAGCCATGATTTATGTAATCAGTCTATGTAATGACACGTGGCCTCCACATATCCTCACATAACCTTTTCCATTCCCCAAAATAGATTTTTTTAAACAAACAATCCTGTACAGAACTATAAATTACATTATTATCTTTAACAGTAAACATGCTGCAATTAAAACAGCATTTCATGTAGTATTTTTTTGTTGTTGTCATGGCTAAAGTCAACTAAATTTCTCATATATACACACACACACACACACACACATATATATATATATATATATATATATATTAGGGCTGTCAGTTTAACGTGTTAAATTAATTAAATTAAATATTTTAACGCAGTTAACTCACTGGCCCTGTCCCCAGACCTGTACATCATCTTACATTTCATACAGTTGACTGTTGACAAATATGATAAAGGACAACAACCCCATAAATGCAGTTATGCCCTAAAATTCAAGATATTGGTGCAAAAATGCCCCTGTATGTGTTTTTGTCTCATATTTATATCATACGATAAGCGATATCACAGGAGCAGCGAGAGCAATCACACGAGTGAATAAAGCTCATTCTGATTCTGAGTGCTGTTTTTGTCCCGAATATCACGAGTTTAAATGTGATTTTATACAACAGTTCAGTAAATATGAAGTTGATCTTTTGTTATATTTTAAACAAAATATGTGTTTTTGCTCAGTTTTGCAAAGAATAAATTACCTAAAGTCATAGCTGCGCGTCTTCGAGGAACACAGCGGTGTTTAGTTTCTGAATGAATCCGCGTTTTGAACGAAACGTGTGAACCAATGATTCAAAGACCCATTCATAAACAGAGCCATTTACTTCGTTCCTGAATGAATCAGCCGTTGAATGAATGACTCAAAGACATTTACCGCCACCTGTTGACAGATTTAGTTTCTTATTTAGAGTAGCACTTCATTAAAAAAATAAAAATAATAATAATAATGATAACATTAAAGGCATTTCATTAAAAAAATAAAAATAATAATAATAATGATAACATTAAAGGGATAGTTTACCCCAAAAATATAACATTTACTCACCCTCAAACCGTTTCAAACCTTTCTTTTGTGGAACATAAAAGAAGGGATTTTGAAGACTGTTGATAACAAAGCTGTTTTGGTTACCAGTGACTTTCATTGTATGAACAAAAAATATTCTGTCATCATTTACTCACCCTCAAACCGTTTCAAACCTTTCTTTTGTGGAACATAGAAGGGATTTTGAAGACTGTTGATAACAAAGCTGTTTTGGTTACCAGTGACTTTCATTGTATGAACAAAAAATACTCAGATGTTTCTCAAATTATCTTCTTTAATGTTCCATAGTTTATGTTAGGCCGTTGTAGCGTAAATGTTTATGTGTAATACATTTTTTATGTCTACTTGATACTTTCTCATTTAACACAAAAATAGCTTTAAATAATCTTTTGTGGGTATTTTCACAGTGAAATTTATTTTGCGATTAATTAAATTAATTAATCGAAACATCATGTAATTAATTAGATTACAATTTTTAATTGACTGACAGCCAATTATATATATATATATAAAATCCTTCAAACAAGAGAATTATTACTGTATTTCTGTTTGGGGTGAAAGTGTGATCAGTGGTCATGAAATTAATTTTTGCGATACAAAAAAAAAAACCGTAATAGCCTTAAAACTGGTTTCATTTTCTTTATGCAATATATAAATACATATTTCTTTCTCATTCAGTTTGCAGTCTGTGGCACTGATGGCTGATCCACTGAATGTGGAAGATTCTCGCCAAACTTGACTTGAATGAGTTAAAGGCTTTAAATATGGAACATTGTCTTCTCTATGTTTTCTCTCATGGCTCATTTGTTTATGCTCAGGATCTGAGACTTGTGAGCATCTCCAGTAAGAAAAGTTTGTTTGAGAGAGGACAAGACCAGGACAACAAGTGACGATCTCATGGATAGAGACAAAGTGAGCTGATCGTTTGTCTAAATAAAAATAGAGAAGGACAAGATTTGTATTTATCTATTTGCATTGAACATACTTTTTATATTCAGTTAAGCATACCTCATTCTCATTAATGTAGTAACAAAAATTTACCATTTAATAGTAAAGTTTCATTATATATCACAGTAATAATTGTTGTAATTAAAATAATTTAGGTACATTTTAATTTTAACAAATCACTGTATCCAGGTTTTTTTTTCTTGCATTACAGGTTTAACGAGAGTCATTTGATCATGTATCTCTGCAGATTCTGAAGATTTTAAAGGAAGCTTGATCGACTCTTTCAGACAGTCAGTGGCAAGGATTGTCTCTTAACTCCTTTTCCTTCTGCTTCTTTACATTGGCTAATTCCTCAGCACTTTTAAGGCATAGTACTACTGATCTATTTGGGTAAATTCAAGGCTTATGTTATTGATTGTGAATGTGTGTACTAATGGATTGTAGAATGCAACAGCACTGTATTATAGGGTCTTTACACAGAAATTGAACATCACAGGGTTTATCTGACAGCAGGAATACAGACATACAGCTTCTCTGTGTCGGTGCCAGACACTCCTCTTCCTTGTAGCTTGACATTTGTGCTGATGATAAGTAAGTTATTAGGAGAAAGAGGCATAATGTATGACCTGAGCAGTGAACAGTCCAAGGTACAACTGCAATATCATGAATGTCTGTTTCAATGAACCTACTGCAAATAAGCTCAATGATTCATTTGTAATGAAGCTGGAATCGTGCGCTGAAGCTGACCTATGCTCTCGCTGCTGTTGTTTTAACCTGCCGGAGACTTGAGTCTTAATAAGGAAACATAATTTAGACGTAATCTATGGAGAAATGTGCCCTAACAAGCCCTTTGCAAACTGACTTCAATCCATTCCAATTCAACCAAGCTTACGTTTCCTTGTTTGCTAACCGACCTGTCATGTAATTATCTTTTCTGCCCAGAAGGGTTATGCTGTAGATTAATTAAAAAAAATTTTTTTTTAGTAGTGGTTATGTTGTCTCATGTTTTCAAATGATGCAGGCTTATGATCTGAATTTGTGAGAATAGAAAATATAATAATAATACAGGAAATAATAATCATAATAAAAATAAATAAAATTGTATTAATAACAACAACAGTCATTTAAAATGACCAGCAATGCTAATCATATTATAATTATTGGTAATTATCAGTGGTTACATTATCTCACGTTTTCAGTAATGACATGCTAAAATATTTGAATTATATTAGCATTATAATTAAATATTTTTAAATGAATTTATAAAAATGAATTATTAATACTATGTTGTTATGTCGGCTCATATTTTCAGTGATATGCTAGAAGAAATATTTTTTTTATGTTATATAATAATGCTTAAATGATGGAGGCTTGAAGTTACATGACTTTATGAAATTAAGAGAAAAATAGGTAGCACTTCACTTAAAGCCTTTATGTATAATGCATTATAAAAGTAGTTTTAATGCATAAATTATGCCTTGTAATTCACCTTATAATGCATTGTACAATCTCATTGTACAGTTAATACATTATAACACTTATCAATTCATTGTTACACTATATGCACCTTAAATTCAGTTATAATTATTTACGACAAGATATAATGTATTACAACGCACATTATGAATAATTATAATGCATTATACCATTTAATAACCCTTTATAATGCATTGTACATAAAGGCTTTAAGTGTTACCAGTATATATGTATATATATATATATATATTTAAATAATAACAATTAACAAAAAGGTTGTCATCAATACTATTATTATTTTACTTTTTGTGCAGATCTTTGAGCTACACATATTGAAGCATCTAGTAATCACTCAAAGCACATTAGCAACTGCATATAGAAAACTCAGAAGATCTAACAAGGCCTTACAATAGGCTTACAATAAAAAATGAAATCTCTCTTCAAAATACTGAAGTATTCAAACAACATAAGGCCTAAGTTCATATGAACCTTGAAACGGTTTTAAACCTTCCAGCATGGCTCAATCATGGAAACAAACTAAACTGCACATCTGAACGCGGTGCAGTCTCAGGCTGCTGGCGTGAGTGAGATGTGGAATGGTAAGCATGGTGCCATGAAGTGAGTCAGACCGGTCAGAGACTAACCAGTCCCTCGTGTTATCAGAGGACACCTCTAAGAGACTCATGTTGATATGGACATTAGCCATCACCATTCTCCTCACCATAACAAAGCCAGCGGCCTTTTAGGGAGTGCTAGCAAGACTGTTCTCCACTTATCTCTGAGGGTAAAAATAAACACACTGAGTGAGATGTATGACCCCCAGAAACAGCCCCAGCCCCAATCATATAAGAATCAAGAAAAGAGCCAGAGCTCGGACATTAACACAGCCTTTCTTCACACATCTCTGCTGGTATATCAGGTAAGAGTATTATGTGTTATGTAGTATATTACTGTGTATACATGTATTATGTACAGAAAAATTGATGTTTATAATTAGAATAAAAAGCAAAAAATTGAATGGAATTTTTAGAATGTTTAGAAAAACGATCAATTATGATATTGATTATTCTTTTAAATATTATTATATTATATTTTAATGTATTTTCATTACAGAGTAAAAATGTCTGACATCGAAGAAGTGGAGGAGTACGAGTAAGTGTACCAGTTCACTGCTCGATTATCATCAGTGGCAAATACTCTTACAATATTTCTTTTCTAGTAATATTACTTTGTTTAAATAAGAATACTGTGCATTAACTGTATACTATAGTGACCAGTGCTATTGGTAATTTGGATAGCATCTGCTTGTCATATATCCCACTCCTCTGATAAGTATATTTTAATCTGAGAGTTCAGGCAGCTGTTGGGAAGGTACTTGAGCTATGAGAACAATGGAAATAACAACACTATTCTGTCTTGTTCTCTAGGGAGCAGGAGGGTAAGTCTTGCATTTCGTAATATTACTTTCATATTTCCACTGTAAACAAGAAAATACTGTTTTTGTTTTAAAGTAGGTCATAAATAGTGGCCTTGCAGCTACATAGTTTTAGAAAAGTGAAGCGACCGATTATGTGGTGGTTTATGTAAAAGATACAGCATGTTTTCAACAGGGTTGTTAAAGAATTGTGTCATTACACTGATATTTGAAATAGGAGATTTTGTCCACACCTTTGTGAATTATAACAAAAATCATAAATATTCTGACATGTAAGTGCGGTTGCAAGATATGGCGACCCGTCATGTAGATTTATGAGCGTGAAAGCTGAGCTTTTCTTGTGAGTTGCAGCAGTTTTGTTCACTCTGCTTGGCAGCTTTCAACAAAACACACCCAAAAATGACACATATGGAATAAGTAGAGCAGAAAGTCCTGAAGCATCTGCATATCATCACTAACCCATTACTGTGTTTCAGTGTCGACAGATCTCCTAGCTTCCATTTTTGTGATGTGTTTTTGTTTGTTTACTTACCTAACCTGCATGGTGTGGCTTAGAGGTGCAGGAGGAGGAGCAGGAGGAGGAGCATGAGGAGGTGCAGGAGGAGGTGCAGCATGAGGAAGGTAGCTACTGCTTATCTGCTAAAGGCAAAGGGCACTAGCCATTCACTAACACTTAGATGCACTATGGTAGCATGGCAATACCATATTTTTTCAAATGTACCATGGTATTCTGTGAGTAAATAACATGGTACATGAAAATGGAAATCACTTCCAAGGTATATTTAAATTATTTAGATGTTCCAAGGTAACAACCGGTAATAGGCCTGCTTAAAGGTGCCGCCAAATTGCGTAGAAATTTCTCAGGATAAAAAGAGAAATCGGTTATTGTCTAAAAAAGTAGTAATGAATAAAGCACAGCTCACATAGAAGTTACTTTCAAACCAAGCAGCTTTCTGTTGGTCAATGCGGCAAATTCACACGGCCAATATGAAAATGAGCAAAATCCACATGGGAAACTTTTTCACCCCTATTCGAAACTCCCAATCACGCAGATTCTTATTGGAATGACTGGAGTTCGCCTGCAAATGTCTCTGAGACACAGAAAATGTTAACAGTGATAATAAACAAGAAGTTAAAGGTTAGTGAAAGTAAGGCAGAATTTTGTGGGCCAAAAAGGTCCATTGTCAAGAGTGTAAACATATATGAAGCACAGCTTACACTAACATTACTTTACATGCAGTTTTCTATTGGCCAGAGTCAAGGTCCTCGCACACAGACATTTTTGTCCGAAATTTTTGCACGTTAAAAAATACCTCACGTTGTGTCAATCACGTTTACACACTGTCTCCGAAACTTTCGACCGTCATAAAAAAAACTAATTCGGCTCGGGTTCGATTTTCTGCGTTTTTCACATCCGTAGCAAGCATTTTGACAATTCAGAGCCACCGTACAAGCGAATGCCAAAATCCAGAATGGCGTCTGACAAGTTGATCTGACACTCCCTGCGTTCCATTCGGAAGGGCTCATCCCTATGCCCTAATCCCTTCAAAGGGTTTACCCTCTTGAAGTGCCCTTCTGCGTCCTCATCACGTGCCCACACGGAGGCGCCGTCATCATGGAAAGAATCTGTGCAAAGGATCATGGGAGCCCGAAGTGTCCATCAGTTGTACCCTTCGAAAATCCTTCATACCGAAGGGCCCTTTGAAGTGGCCAGTTTTGAGCACTTCGGTTTGGAACGACCCTTCAATATGGCGGCCATGATTGTTTTCACTCCCAAGTGCCCTTCGGAGGGCGATATATCCCATTTGGAACGCACTGACTGAGTTCAAGATCGCTAAGATCTAACTCGCAGATTATGCTCAAGGTTCCAAGTAAACGTCTTAAAGGGCACCTATTATGCCCCTTTTTACAAGATGTAATATTGGTCTTGGGCATCACCAGAATGTGTCAGTGAAGTTTCAGCCCAAAATACCCAACAGATCATTTATTATAACAGCTGGAAAATGTAATTTTTGGGGTGTGTCTAAAAAAAGAGCTGTTTTGGAGTGTATCGCTTTAAATACAATTGAGCTGCATATTCCTGCCCCGTCTCCAGAACAGTGCATAGCGTATATGTCTCTCTGCATTTCATATCTACAGCAATAAACAGCCGGTAGAAGCAACATGACTGAGAGCAAGAGAACCGGTGTTTAGCCGTACATATGGGAAGCCAAATGCACTGAAAGTAGGACGAAACAGCGCGATGTTACAGAGCTCGCGCCGCGCTGGCCTGTCATCGATGCGGATCAATGGACCGAGCCTCGCGACCGCGCTACTGAACGAATCTCGCGCTACAAACGGGGCAAACTAATCTCACAAGCGCGGTGCTGATCAGTTAAAAATACTTAATGTACGCACACAAATATGGTTAAAACGCTAAGCACTATAACAACTTGACATTCACAAAGGAGTCTGGAGTGATACACGTATTTAGGTAGATTTTGAGGCGCATTACCTTGAAAAATTAAAGTAATCCACAGGATCCTCAGTAGAGCAGAGCATCGGGATTGCTTGCGAGACAGCTGGGTTTCCATCCAAAATTGCATATTTAACTTATGCGCAAAACTGGAATATCGCATATAACATTTGCGAACAAGCATCGTTTCCATCCAACAAGTCAAAGAAAACAAAATCGTCACTTCCTGATAAACTGGCACTATAAATTACTAAGAAAAGTAGGAAAATATAATAATTTTCATATATAATAAATTACTTGCGCCTCAGTGCGAGCAGACGAAACACAATGAATGCGGTCATTGCTTTCGGAGGTGGATGCTGCTGTTTGGGAACGCAGTCGTGTAAGACATTTCTGGGAGGCAATTATACAGAAATACGTTGATGACAGACTTTGCTTGTGCATTTCCGAATGACCATAACAACATTTCAGAAGCTGTGGAATGAGATCGGTCCGCTGGTTATTCAGGATATGCCGTCCCATAGCGCAAAGTCACATGACTTTTTTGATGCGCTTGGAGGAATTTATTCACAAAATGCATTTCCATCTCCCATTA